CTCAGGGGCCAGAGAGCAGTGGTATCATCATAGCTCACAGCAACCTCAAAACTCCTGGGCGCAAGCTATCCTCCTGCCTCAGTTTCCCCAGTAGCGGAGACGACAGGTGCACAACACCATGTCCAGTTTTTTCCTACTGTTTCTAGAGACAAGGTCTTAATTAGGATGGTCTTGAACTCCTGGCCTCAAGTGATCCTCCTGCCTCTCCCTCCCACAGTGCTAGGATTATAGCCATGAGCCGCCATGCCAGGCATTGAGGGCTGTTATTTATCTCCTATCCCTAACTTAGCATAATGTAGGTGCTTCTATAATTATTCATTATCTTTCTAACTGGAAACTATACAAAGTCTGTCACTTAAAAAGAAATTGGGACCAAAATACATTGCATAAATATGGCACCTGCAAAGAAGGTATGATTTATAACTTCATGGTAATAGGCACTTTATAAAGGTGAAGGAAGAACAATGAATATGAAATACTCAGTTAAAAAGTCCCCTAACAGAGGTATTCTAGAGAGGCAAGGCAGACAAATCAGAGGGAAAACTGAGCAAGACCTCCACCTTCTTACTGGTGTACCAGACGGATAAACCCGGGAACAGAGCAGGTACCATTTGAGTCTTTGCCCTTTCTTGGTTCCCTTCCCTTCCAAAGGAACACCCAGGCTTTTATATGTAGAAATAAAATGTTAAGCCATTAGTATGGTGCCTGTAACCCAGCAGATGTTCCACAAATCCTCGCTACTTTTCCATTTCCCTACGAAGCTGTGGGGAAAGCATTCCTTTTAAGCACGTCCACTTTCTAGCTTGCTTCCTTAGACCACCATTCTCACAAAGTGAGGTGAACAATCAAGTCAGTCACATCCATGATCCGTACAGAAGTGACCATGTAACGCTGCATACAGTACAATAGCTGTAATACACAGGTAAGAAGGAAAAAATCACGAATACTTGTAGAAAAAATATCCACGAGACATTTTTCTCTGCTACAGAAATGGCCTTAATTTTACATTTCGTAGGCATCTATTACTTTCATTAGGCACTACCAGGAGAAGGCATAGTAGTATTTCCACCCTTGGGTATATCCGACACGACAAAAAACTGACAAAAGTTGGTCAGAACTCCATATAATGTTGTCAACAGTAGGTGTCTTAAGTTAGGTTATAGATCCTGACAAGTTAGCGTCTTCTGCGCGGCTCTGAAATTCCTTAGGGCAACCCCAATTTCTTTAGCTGAAAGCAGCAGCAGGGTGGGACACAGTTGGGGCTGTACTTTATGTGTTTCTGCCTATCCTGATGGTGCCTTGGGTAGAAACCGAAGCCAGCGTGTTCCTCTTCTTTTTGCAAGGTTTGCTTTCACAAAATACCCTCTTCCTATCCAGACACACTCCTGGCATCCTCTGGAAGGAGTCCTTTAATCTACAGAACAGACGAGGAGTCCTTACAGAGAGTGGAGAATTGGCTCCAAGTCACTTGGGAGTTCGTGGTCTTCTGGAGCTCTCCCTGGGTCACATTTTGGTAAAAATGACTTAAAATGTGTTTTTTATATCTAGTACACTAAGCAGAAACCACTATGCAGTGTAGTGCTAATCCAGGTTTTGAGTTTTCTGAATGAAATTATTATCTATTTTACTAGGTAATATATTTAAGAAATGCAAAATACTTCTTTTGTTCACTAACTATGTTTGCATTTGTGTGACATCAATGTACTAGGTTCCGGCAAAGAAAAACTGTCATAAAAAATTTAAGGTCCCGGGTGGCGCCTGTGGCTCAAAGGGTGCTGGCCCCATATACTGAAGGTGGTGGGTTCAAACCTGGCCCCGGTCAAACTGCAACAACAACAAAAATAGCCGAGCGTTGTGGCGGGCACCTGTAGTCCCAGCTACTCGGGAAGTTGAGGCAACAGAATCGCTTAAGCCCAGGAGTTGGAGGTTGCTGTGAACTGTGATGCCACAGCACTCTACCGAGGGTGATAAAGTGAGACTCTGTCTCTACAAAAACAAACAAACAAAAAAACTGTTGATCTCAACTACTTCTTACCTGAAAGGTTTTTTCTTAAGATTTTATATAAATGACCTCATAATTATAACGGAACAAGGGTATACACATACATTCAGGATGCAAAAACCCAATGAAGACAGTTTCATGACTTCAAGTACAGAGTTTCAGTGTGTTAAAAGCATTTGATATCAAATAAATAAGAGGATTAAAAAACAGCAACAAACCACTGCTACCCAACAAAACTTTCCCCCAGCCTGCTTCTCATTTCAGTACTGACAGAAATCAGGACCCCAGGGGAAAGCCGCTGAAGTGCACACTTCAGAGTTAAATAAAAACATGAAAGACTGTAGCACACGTTAATGATAAATTTAATTTCAACAGGGCAAAGAAATTAACTTTAAACGAGGGTAGTGGCAGCAGCTAAATTTTGAATGTCCCTTTTCATTCCACCTGAAAAAAAAAGTGTTAAGTTTTTCCTCTGACTGCTTCCCAGTGGTGCAATGGCAGCAGAATATCCAGTGTGTGACGGTGCTGGAGGCCTTCTGTGGGGACAAGGACAGATGCGACTTCGTGAATATTTTTTAGTCTGCAGAAAGAAAGGGGCAGAAAAGGAGAAGGGGGGATAGAGAAAGAGAGAGAGAGTGGGAGAGAGAGGTACGGGAGGGGGAGAGAAAGGGAGAGAAACAAAAACTAACTTTCCAGGCAGGGAAATACTTATAAAACCTTTTATGTCAAAGTTAGGATTTCACAACATAACATACTAATGCAAAATCCAGGAGCACCTGTAAGATTTAAGTAAATGCTGCCATCACTTAAATGCTTTTAAGTATCTGTAAAAGACTGGAAAGAAAAAAAGATAAAGTACATTCTCCAGAGAACAACAAATATATTTCAAAATAAAAACTGTATTTTTGTCTTTTTTTCAGTTTTTGTTTTTATACAAGGATTCATAGGTCTCACAGAGTAACTGTACACAATGGGATCCACTCTGCTCTCCTCTGTGTCGCTCCAAGTCCACATGTTCAGGCTACAGTCCCCAACACCGTTTTTGGACAAATATATCACCATAGTTTGATCTAAATATAGATACATTATATAATATGTGTCTCTGGGAAAAATCGAACTTTAAAATGCAAATGTTTATTTATATAATACAGAAATGGAAAAAGAACTACAGTAGGCACACAATCTAATCATGACTTGTAGCTGATGACCTCTAGATACTCTCCTACTGTAAACGACGTTTAAAATAGTCTTAAGAAGATTCTATTTATATGTGCACTTGTGTCCACCTTATCCCATATACTGTACATGTCTATTGACAATCTGGGAGTTTAAAGGTGCAGCCCTCAAGAAATTGTTAAGTCACTAAAAAAGGAAACAATTAGGCTCTATTGGACAAGGAAAACACTCACAAAATTTCCAATTTTAAATTTCATATCAGTAGGAAAATATTAAAAATAATTTTTATATATACATATGGGTATATGTATATATTAAATTACACGTATGTCTCACATTACCAATACAATTCATGTGGAGACATTTTGGTGAGTTATTTTCCCATTAAATGACCACTCTGTCAAAATTTAAAAATATTTTATTACATCATTAAAATAGTTCACTTACCATTTCAATAGCTTATACTGTTTTTTAAATTTTTTTTAACTCTTCATAACTAAATTCCCTGATCCTTAATGTTAAATCCCCTATTTAAATTAAAACCTGGTGCTCTTTGTTACTCAGAAACTGATGTTATCGATAAAATCACATCTTCAAAAATTCCATCAATCAAATAAATTTTATTACCTGATTTATCAGAGAAATAGCTCTGAGCATGTGTATCTAAATTATTCTCCCTATAATAAATAGGTGAGGAAAATATCCTAAAATAGATGGAGGTAACTTACAGGATGTTATAGCCCATATAATACATCATGATTACGTGTCTGTTATAAACTTTTTCAGAGACACCTGAAAACTCACTTTAGAAACTAACTTTAGAAACAAATCATTTATTTTTCACTCTCATATAAATTAATATGTATGTATTTACATACATACACATACATGTAAAACAAAATTATCTAGTGTTGAGTAGCTGTTTGAGTGAAAAAAATGGCTACAAATCAATTGATTAGCTCAATTTCGTACTTAACAATTCAATCGTTTTGGGGTACAAACAAAAAGTCAGTGCATTTATAGACTCCATAGAGTCAGATACTCAAGCATACACTTTTAAAAAGATCCTCCTCAACATCACAGGCATTGTACAGCAAGAATATATGTACTCTGATGCAATTCCTACCCATAAGCAGACTAGACAGCACTTGGCTTACTTTTAAAATAGCTTTGTGAAAGAAATATATAAAGAAATGCATGTTTGCTAAAAGTCTTTTAAAATTACATCAAAACAACATTAAAACCCGTTCACTGAGAAGAGCCTATTGAATTTAATTCCTGTGTTGAAATGCCTAGTTAACAGTTCAGAATATTGCCTTATAAGGTTTAAATAAAGATGTGATTGATATGAAGACCCAGACAGAGGACAGAGCTCCATCTCCATCTGCCACCATCACAATTCAGACACAGTCCTCTGATCAGCTGTTTGATGTAAATGGATCCTCTTTAAAATAGTTATACACCTTAAAATTATCTATAATAAACAGTTCCCCAATAACCGTTATTATTCATAAATTGAAATGCATTGATCATTCAGAAAAAATTTCTTGCAAAATATATAAATAAATGTAACTGCATATTCTGTAAATATACTTAACATTGCCAGACCAGACCGTCAACGACGGGCTGCTGTATTTCAGTACTGTGTCAAATTTATTAGAAATTTAAAAAGAAAAATTTCTGAGGGACTCAGCTGCCTTCATTAGTTGGCTTTAAAATGTGTAATAAAATGGGAGACAATATCTTCTCATAAATACATGGAATCAATATGGAAAAGTAAACTATACAACAGATAAGATTAGAGAACACCAGAGTGTACCAGAATAGTCACCAGAGTGAAATATCTTCCAGCACAAAAAAAGGGAAGAACTCTATACACCCAGTTATAGTCTATTTCATTTAAAGATGTGGCTCTTTCTCACTCCTGGCAAGAATTAATTGGTAATGGCACTGCTTTTTAGCAGTGCAAAAATATCCTGAGAAATTATTCAGATTACAACAAAAGACAGGGCTTCCATCACTAAGTTTTTGCACAAAACACAGCTCTAGATCGTAAATAAATTAATTTAAAAAGCAGGTAATCTTCACTGTGTTGAACACAAAAAGGGGATGTGACCCAGACATTGTTAATTCTCCCATTGGCTAATATCGGAAAAAAAGATTGCATTAAGTGTCTATTTATAACTTTCTAGTTAACTATGGCCAATAATATACATGGAGGTAATTTGTAGTTCAAGTTTTTCATCTCTTTTTATTCCCAACTAGCTACAAGCTGAATTCTAAAATTTACACTGAAATATACAATTCCGATTTTCAAAAGATTCTCCTCCCGGAGGAGTGATATTCAAATTTTTTGTGCAATCTTGATGCAGAGCCCAAACAGTCCTATGAAGAGAGATAAGTGTATCTTCTAATCAACTGGCACTGAAATTTTACTTTCCTTAGCTGCATTCTAGTAGCTTGGCCAAGTTATCTCGTAATTCTGAAAGTTCAAATATTTTTCCATCCAGAATTTCTAAGAGTGTCTTCAGATTATTGCGAAAAGCTTCTTGTTCATTCTGACTTTTCTCCAGACGTTGCTCTAAGTCAGACAGTTGTCCCTCCAGGTCTTTGTTCCGAATTTCTACTTCCTTCAGAAACAAAAGCGTTACATATATATATATGTATATATGTATATATATATGTCAATTTATCAGTTAGAAACAACACAACTTTCTATTATTATTAATCTTGCAGTAGTCAATGCTGTCTGGCAATCAGGATGAGCTCAGGAATCTCAACACAATTTAAGGAGGTTATGTTAAAATTTGGCCATCTCAGAGAGCCATGTGGTTTAATGACTACCTTGTTGATGAATCTATCTAACCATGTAACAAAAATCTACTGACTGTGCTAATACTCTAGGTACTTCAAATACTGACGTAAGACTGAAACCCATTATATGGATCATTTATATCTCATCTTTATTGCTGTTCAATACTTTTCCTATGGAATAACCATCAGCAATCTCAGGTGAAAACAGGCAGAGAAAAAGAGAACTTAACTTTTTCTTCTTACTAGCAACTCTGGAGAAAGATTTAGTGAAGAAAGCAACAAGATTTTAGGATTCTTTGAATATTGTAATTATTTTTTGCTTTGCCTCACTATTAAATGAATGCATGTGTAGAGAATATAGCTCAATTGCTAAAAACTGTAGTGAAGATATATAAGAACTGTACATATTAGAGAAGTGTAACAGTTCCAACATACTGCAAACAAAAGAGAAAAAAATGATAAAGGGGAATCAAATGTTCATGCCAAGAAAAAATGTTTAATAAATGTTTTTTGATATAAAATAAACTCTAGCATACTTAAAAATTATTTAGAAATTATTGGTTTTAAGCATGACAAATAAAGTGAGTCTAAAAACTAAAATGACATCAGTTGAACTAATGATTTAATTTTGGTTAAAAAATCAGACTAAGAAAAATGGCAGAAAGCCAACCATTACACTTTATTTTTTATTTTTTTATAGAGACAGAGTCTTACTTTATTGCCCTCGGTAGAGTGCTGTGGTGTCACACAGCTCACAGCAACCTCCAACTCCTAGGCCGCAATTCTCATGCCTCAGCCTCTCGAGTAGCTGGGACTACAGGTGCCCACTATAACGCCCGGCTATTTTTTTGTTGCAGTTTGGCCAGGGCTGGGTTTGAACCCGCCACCCTTGGTATATGGGGCTGGCACCCGACCCACTGAGCCACAGGTACCACCTGCCAACCGTTACACTTTAAATAAGCTATTCAGGTAAACAATGAATTGAAAGTTATATATCCTTCTTGGAAAGCTCACTTTTACATTGGAGAGGAATTCAGTGACTGACTCAAGTTACATTCAAATACATAAATTATATGGGACAATGAAAACATTTTGGTGTTAGTTACACAACATGAATCAAACTCAGAAAATAAAATGTTTCAAAATTCTTGAAAGAAATCCTATTAAGTCTAAAGGACAGTGGAATTTTTTAAAAATTAATATTACTATTATTTTTTGAGACTGAGTCTCACTATGTTGCCCTAAGTAGAGTGCTATGGTGTCACTGCTCACAGCAACCTCCAACTCTTAGGCTCTAGCAATTCTCTTGCCTCAGTCCCCCAAGCATCTGGGACTACAGGCACCCACCAAAACACCTGGCTATTTTTTGGTTGTAGTTGTCATTGTTGTTTGGCAGGCCCGGGCTGGAGTCATATCTGCCAGCTCCAGTGTATGTGGCTGGCGCCCCCAGCTGCTGAGCTACAGGCACTGAGGCTTAAATTTATGTTATTTTAAATGTTAAATGAAAATAACAGAATATAAAACAGCTTACTGAAACAAGGCAAAAAATGTGTATGCACAAGGACCAACACTAGAAATGAATGTACGAACAGGAAATAAAAAACAGTTCTGGTATTCAAATAATGGACTTTTCTCCCCAAATTAATTGTTCTCACACTATCTACAAAGATTAGACTTCGAACGGAAAAAAAAATTGGAAAATCGGCTTGAATCCATTTAAGAAGGTACTAATCCCTCATTCACAGTGACAGATGAGTCAGAGCAAGGCTAAAGCAAGGGTGCTGCAGATGAGAAAATGTAAGACAGGAATCAAACAGCTATCATAATTTGTAAAGAAAGAATTTAAGGCATCCCAATCAAATCTCAAAGTATTTACTGTCAGATGCTAACCAGGCGTTTCTAGTCTTCTCCCTTTGAGTTATCTGCAGGATGAAGATTAGTAAATTGAGAACAGAATCTCAAACTAATAAAATATTTATAAATTTAGAAGCCAAATAAATACAGGGAGGCTGCAAACTATGAGGGAAAAGAGATGCTGAGATCAAATGCAAAAATTCCACTCAAGATTGCACAGCATGCTCTCCTGACTGCTTGAACAATAAGCTTAAGGATAGAATGTTTCCAACTATAAAAATAGACCAGATGTCATTCACTTGCAAACACCCACTTCATAAGGCACCACCCAGTTTGTCCTCTAAAGCCTTTCTAAAAATGAAAGGCTCCTTGTTTCCTTGCCAATCAATGGAACACCCAAACATTTTCTTTCTTTTTTTTTATAGAGACAAAGTCTCACTTTTATCCTCTCAGTAGAGTGCTGTGAAATTACAGCTCAGAGCAACCTCCAGCTACTGGGCTTAGGTGATTCTCTTTTGCCTCAGCCTCCCGAGTAGCTGGGACTATAAGTGCCCGCCACAATGTCCAGTTTTTCTGTTGTTGTTGCAGTTTGGCCGGGGCTGGGTTTAAACCCGCCACCCTCAGTAAATGGGGCCAGTGTCCTACTCACTGAGCCACAGGCACTGCCTACACCCAAACATTTTCAATGGAAACAAGCAAAACACAAAATTCCCTTAGCTAATAAAAGTTTGCTGTTCTCTCTAGAATGAATTTCCTACTCTACGCCATCTGTTTGTAGGAATTTCACTAGCTCGATAACAAAAGGGATCTAACAATGCTGATGGTGCTAGTCTATTTTTAGGCAGAGAGAATACGTTCCTAGAGCAAGAATAGATAATAACCCAGAGCAGAGGGGCCAAAAAGATGTAACTGAAGTCACGGTTGCTGGCACTTTGCAGTCGTCTTACCTTTTGTCCATATTTCCAACCCTCTCCTTTTTGCCTTTCATTCTCCCAACAAACTAATTCATCTGCTTATTATCATCTTGTCCTACTATTTCCCTCTTTTCCTTTACAGAAGTGAGGTACACACCAGGGGACCTGAGAGAGGCATGGTTCAGTGTTGACAAAAATACTGCAGGCTGGAACTGCTAACCTCCTTTTTAGTACTTTAAAAGGCAAAGCCTCAAAAATATAAAATTCTACTGGGCAGAACACCATCCTTGGTATTTGTTTTAAAACACTAGAGCAGTGGTTCTCAACCTTCCTAACGATGCAATTTATTTTCATTGTTAAAAAGGGGTTGCGAACCACAGACTGAGAACTACTGCAGAGTGATTAAAGGAAAATTAAATAATTATGACCACTACTGATGGTACCAGATCAGCTTAATTTTCTATAAATTAAGCCTGAAAAAAAGAATTGTCTTTATTGACATCTGATTCACATTGTAGGCTCTTGTTAGTAACATATATTACTGCCCTATTAACTGTTAACCTTTACATGTGATAGGAAATAGAAATCAAGACAGTAATTAACAATTCCACAGAAAACAGATAAAAGATACATATATTTTGAAGAAGTTATTCAACAATTAGTTACCAAACATCTTTTAAGTACTAGGTATTGGGAATAAAGCAGTAAATACAACAAAAAGGGTGCCTGTTTAATGGAGCATACCTTCTAACAGACAGACTCTGGAAATAAAGAGGTTATGAACAGAGTGGATTTCTGGGTAGCTGAGGTAATAATGACTGCATACATGTAATCTACTAACCAGCCCTCGATAGTTGTATTTATCAAAACTACATAAAGAAATAACGAAAATAAAACCAGGCAAATTCCATGACATCAATGTAACCATAAGATAGGGAACAATACAAACATCAAATTACCTGTAATTAGAAAATATAAGCACCAATTTCCAGCAGAGGTATTTCTCAAGCTCTCACTCTAACTGGGAAGGGAGAAATACCTCCAGCAGAGGTATTTCTCAAGCTCAAACTCTAACTGGGAAGGGAGATGTAGGGTCAAGGCACACAAGAGTGAAGAGAATGAAAGGCCGAGGAGTGAACTACAGTAAGCCTAAGAAAGAGGAAGACCAGCATTGTTTTCAGTGCCAAAACACTGAAGGACTGTCCAAGAGGGACAGAGCAGACCATAGGAAAGGAAACAGTGTACATGATAACACTGCAGGCAAAAGACACCGCTGAGGAGAGGAGCATAAAAGGAACAGAAAGAACTCTTTTAGAATACTAGGGTAAAGGGAAAAAGGAGCAAGACTGGGACATTTAAGATTTTGTCTGACAAAAGAAAGTTAAAATATTGAAGGGCATTCTCCTCCTATTGTCTTTGCAAAAAGAGTTTTAAAAGTATGTATGCATTTATTTATGATTGACTGAGACTTTATTGTTCAGGCTGGAGTGAAGAGGTGCCATCCCTGCAACCTTGTCTTAGGCTCAGAAAATCATCGTGCCTCAGCCCCCGGAGCAGCTAGGACTATACATTCAGATAAACATGTTTTTGGACTGTGAATTCAGAAACCATCTTAAACCACCATTCTACCCATGAAATACAAAGGTATAAGCAAACTTCATTTACCCAAACTACTAGAAGAAAGAAATAGAAATACTCAAAATTTTCAGTAGATGAAAATTTCAAAACCCTCCCAAACCAACTATGAAGAAGAAAACTTTACAAGAACACTATTCTCTGAATTAAATATTCTCAAATAAGCATTCCAAAAATGCTTGAATTAGATATTTAAAAACTATGAATAAAAATGGGCAACCCCCCCAAAAGAGGAAAGTTGATAGAACCCATGAGAGAAACAGAAAAAAAAGGGCAAAATTATGTCACAAATGAAGACTGAGTCTCCAATGAAAGACAGATTTGAATAAAAATTATTATTATTATTTTTTTGAGACACAGTCTCACTATGTTGCCCTCAGTGGAATGTCGTGGTGTCACAGCTCACAGTAACA